TCCTACTCTTTCTTAACTTCATTTTCATTATTCTATAAAGGAAATTTGAATCCACAAATATATAAAACTATATATAAAATTATATACATCAATACATGTATATTTTTAATTAAATGACAATTGAAAAAAAAAATCAAAATTGATGATCAGTGAAAACTTTGAAATACAAAATACAATCTTAAATAATGTGGTATAATATAAATTCGTCAAGACTTTGACTGATCAACATTCATAAATCATTATAACATGCATTGTTGATTCAAATTCTTCAATACAAAATAGTCATTTCAAAAAGTATAAAAACCGAACTACTACAATCACTTTTTGGAAAGGAAAAAAAAAACAAATTAACTAACAAAAAAGAAATGAACCAAGTACATATTTTTTCTCTTATTTGAAATCTACAACAAACAAGTGGCAGAGGCCAAGCCCTTCCCCCCATTTAAAAATAAATGTTTCCAATACTTTTTAATCTTGAGAGGGATACTTGATGAGGGGTAGAATAGAGGGTTGAGTTTCGGTGATAAGGGGAGTTAAAAGTGAGAAGCGTAAGAATGAATCTCCTATCTTGGATGTACAGTAGGATGAGATGTACCGAGATGCACCCAAAAGGTTTTCGTAAAACCTTGGGATATTGAGGTGGCACCATGATAATTGAGTATTCTTATGTGAATTTGTGGTTTAGTTTTAGTTGTCCCACATTTGAGAAGAGTTAGAAGATTCGAATAAAGTGAAATGTATAAAAAGATGGATGGTGCCTTTATGTCAATTCATGGGGTTTTCCTTTTATAGTTATCTTATTTTAGATGACCCTCTTTGTAATCTATAACCATGGTTGGAATCAAAACCAAACAAATGGTAAAAATCATAATACACAACTAAAAGTGAAACCAAGGATGATGACTTGGCAACATGAGGTTTGAGTCTTCCTCAAAACTTTATTAAAGTTGATTTTCATCATCTCATATTGATGGAAAGATTTGGAAGAAAATGATAGATGTATAAAAGTCTGACAGGTGCTTTAAAATCTATAACCAAAACCAACCATCTTTATATTATATATATATATATATATATATATATATGAGCGATCAAATGAA